GACAATGGTCCCTGGGAAATCCACCAAAGTCATCTGTCCTTCCTGTTGCATCTGCTGGATATTCAGTGTCTTCATAAATACCAATAATTCATTGAAGGTTACTGGTCCATAGAATGTGCACAATGACACCTACACCCAAGGCAAGTGGTTCTGCTCATACGTGATTCTCAGCATAGGTAATATGTTGTGGTCATCCAATGACACAATGTTTATTAACCAGTGTCTCCATGGTGGTTCTCCTTTAGAGATACCACCAAAGAGTACAATATATTCACACCTGAAGCTGCTCCCACCCAGAGATCAGAGAGACCCCCAGAGATCAGAGCCACCTGTGCCATCCTGATGTTGGTCATCACCTCTGTCACTTTTTATACCTTGAATTCTATGATTCATTTTTATATCACTGCTTTTTTAGACACTAGACTATGGTTGATGCATGCCTCTCATATTTTGTCTTCCTATTTTCCTACTGTTGGCTCCTTATTGCTGGTCCTTCAGAAGCCTAGAGGCCCTAAGTTCTGTTACTGAATTGTTCAAAATATCTGTTCAGGAATATAACACACACACACACACACACACAAACCACCACACCAAAACACCCCAACCTTTCTACAGTACTTCTAACTACTCTATCCAAGGATTCTCTAATATAAATTTTAACATGAAATTATACAGTGATCTTGGAAAACAAATTTGATACTGGTATGCTATTTTGCAGAATCTAATAGTCTATTGATCAAATTATGAGCTCATAAAAGAGCTACAATGGAGTTCTGGTGGTCTAATGGCAAGAAGCGACACTGCAATCCCAAAAGCACATGGCTCAAATCTACCAGCTGCTCTATGGGAGAAAGATGGGCAGTCTCCTCCTGTGCAATTTACTGCCTCAGAAAACCTGCTGGAGAGTCAGGCAGAGATCGGTTCCGACACTATGGCACACACCAACAAAAGAGCTACAATCTTATTGGTGAAAATCTTTCTCTCTCTGCCAGTGTTATTTACTGACAAATGCTTTTCTTTCAAGAATAGCATTACAAAAAGTTTCCAATAAGCATACGGCATTGTGGATATGGCTAGTATATGAGATATATTGGTGTAGAATCCTGTGTTGGCCTAGGTGCTTTTACTGTAGAGAAAGTGGAGATTTTTCTTTCATAAATGAAGATAAGAGTTCTACAAACTGGATAATCTATTTTCAGTAATATTATGTGTCTATTTAATTTGTACTTTTTCCAAAATGTGAGAGGAACTAATAAAAAAAAAAGCAATGGTGTTCAAAGGAATCCTCCAAGAACTTTTCAAGTTTCCACTAGTACTGATCCTCAGTCAATTTGTTTCATTAGATGTTTAAAGAAATGTTAGAAATAAAGGACAGTTTGGAAAGGCCACCATCCATGGATTTGTCATTTGGATATTTTGGTTGTTAAAAAAAAACAACAACAAAACCCAAAAAAAATTTAAAAAAAAACACAAAACAAAGAGAAATCATGGACTTTGGTTTCTACTTGTTCTAGTTCCTTTTCTCCCCTTTGTCTTCCTTTAGGTTAGTCTGGTTTTCTAATTGTTTTGGTTTTTAGCCTTTATACTTTCATTTAATTGCTTTAAGAGCAATGACGTTAGTTAAGAACAAAAGGAGACACAAAACAAGCTGAAATTCCTCTTGTAACAGATTACAAGGAACAAGGCAGCATTTCTTCTGAGACAGATCACAAGAGATAGGCACTCCTGGTAGACCCAGGTGTTACCGGCTGTCTCCTAGTTTGTCCTTGTGGTTTCATCATTTCTGAGATAACAAAAGAATGTTAGCAGAGAAATACATAGCTTCATTAGTTAAGAACTTTTTCTGTGACTTTCTATCTCCTGGAAATTTTTAATAAAGGCAAGAGAGACTCTAGGCTTGACGCTGCAGTCTTGGAGATGTATGTGCCCTGCCTTTACTCTCTCTGTTCTCCCTCTCATTTTTTGGTGTCCCCGTCTCCTTCATTCATCCCGGCTGACAACAAAAGTGCATCTGATCCAGGCTGCAGTCTTCACAATTACGTGCTATGTGTCAGAAAGCTGGACAATGACTAGGGATGATAGAAAGGGAACTGATGCCTTTGAGCAGTGGTGCTGGAGAAGAATACCATGGACTGCCAGCAGTACACACATGTTCATCCTGGAGAAGGTGAAACCAGGCTGCTCTTTGGAGGCAAGGATTCTGAGGCTTTGTCTGACTTTGGGCATATTACGAGGAGGGGCCAGTCCCTGGAAAGGGACATTATGCTCAGGAGGGTGGAAGGACAATGCAAGAGAGGAAGACCCTCAATGAGATGAATTGACTCAGTGACTGGGGTAATGGGAGTAGGTGTGTCAGAGACAATAAGGATAGAGCAGGCTTCAGGGCTATTGTACATAAAGTCGCTATGAGTCACAAGAGACTCGATGGCACATAACAACAACAAACAAGATATAACAGTGGCGGGAAACAAACTTCTGTGAGTTTGAGATGGCTATGTTCTTGCTTGTTGCTAACTCACTTCTGCTTGCTAAGTCTTTGCTGTGTAACATCTGCAAGGGAGACCTGAGGCCCTGACACCATGCCGCCTCTCTTTGTTCAAGCTAACAAAAACCTCTGCTTCCCTCTGGGGTGCACAGATATCCAAGCCTGGCCCTTCCACTCTCAAGGACTTCACTTCAGTAACTACTTCTTTTTTTAAAAAAAAAATTATTTTATTTCATTATGTTTTGTGTGTACCATCAAATCAGATCTGACCGGTACAGGAGGAGATTGTTCCTCCTTCTCCAGCAGAGCATCTGGTGGATTCGAACCGTGTACCTCTGAGATTGCAGTGCAGCTTCTTGCCACTAGGCCACAGTAACTACTTCTTAATAAGTGATATTATTGTTGATATAAGATGGATATTGGCTGAAAGCAGAGAATACCAGAAGGAGGTCTATTTCTGTTGTGTTAACAATGCAAAGGCATTTGACTGTGTGGATCACAACAAATTATGACTAACACTGAGAAGAATGGAAATCCCAGAACACTTAACTATGCTTATATAATCCTCTACCTAGACAAAGAAGCTGTTGTCTAAACAGAGCAAGAGAACACTGCATTTTTTAAAATCAAGAAAAGTGTATGTCAGGAATTTATCTTTTCTCTGTATCTATTCAATCTGTAAGTGGAGCAATCATTTGAGAAGCTGGACTCCATGATGAACACAAAATCTAGATCAGAGGAAGACTCGACTCACTAACAACCTGTGTTATGCAACAGATAACACAGCCTTGCTTGCTTAAAGTAACAAGGACTTGAAATACTTGCTACAGAAAATCAAAGACTATAGTCTTCAACATGGATTACATTTCAACATCAAGAAGACAAAATCCTCACCACTGGATCAATAAGCAACATCATTGCTGTTATTAGGTGCTGTAAAGTCTGAGTAGGACTCATAGTGACCCTATGAACAGACAACCTGAACTCTGCCCTATCCTGTGCTATCCTCATCAACTCACACACATTTGAGAACACTGTTAAAATCACATTCCAGGGGATAGCCTTGTCTAGCTACATGTCCAAAGTATGAAAGACAAAGCTTCATCATCTTTCCTTCCAAGAAGCACTCTGGTTGCACTTTCTCAAGATATACCTGTTTGTTCTTTTTAGCAGTCCATGGAATATTCAGTACTTTTCTTCAGCACCACATATCATGTAAATGGAGAAAAGACTGATGTTTTCAATGACTTCACCTTACTTAAATTTACAGTCAACACCCTTGGTACCATCAGTCAGGAGATAAGGATGCATTTTGCATTGGGTAAGTCTACTGTCAGGGATTTCTCCAAATTACTGAGGAGTTATGATGTTAGTTTGGAGATTAAGGTGTGTGATTCAGGCCACAGTACCTTCAGTCACTTGTCATATGTCTGAGAGCTGGAACGTGAATAAGGAACATAAAAGAATTGATTCCTTTGAGCTGTGGTGTTAGGGAAGAGACTGGCAAAAGAACAGATGTCTTGGAGAAAATGTGGTTAGACTTCTCTTAGGAGGCAAAGATGGCAGAGCTTCATCACACACTTAGGGCATGTTACTAGGAGACGCTATTCCTTGAAGAGGGGCATCATGCTTGGGAAGATGGAGGGTCAGCAAAAGAGAGGAAGACCCTCAGCCAAATGGATTGACAATGGATTGCCGACTTCATCAAGGGGCTCTAGTGTGTCAAAAGTGATGAGGATGGCACAGGATAGGACAGTGTTCAGGTCTATTGTTCTTAGGGTCGCTATGAGTCACACTCGACTCCAAAGCACCTAACAACAGTAATAAACTCGCACTCTACTGTTAGGGAGTTGCCAGTCTCTTTCTTTGGTTTCTTAACATCATGGGTAAGAATCTCATTACTGGTCCATAACCAGACAACTGGTAAGTCAAGAGACAGATAACATGGCCAATAACAGAAAGCCATCCACTAGGGTTAAGCTTGGGAGTCAACAATGTCCATGTGGGGAGATTCATTGGTGCTAAACCCAGGGATCAACAACCTCTATGTAAGTGGGAGAATGGCCTGTATGCATCTACTAGGAGAACTCTGCATTTCATGCAGACCATTGCCTGTGGACCAAGTACAGGGATAGCCTCCGAAATGCCAACGTGTATATTTTGGTTGTGGGAAAGCATATGCCTTCATAAGCATGGGTAAGAGATGAGGAGAGCAGTAATGGCTGTGGGGTGATCTGGGTGCTAACCAATACCCAGTTATCTGGGAAAGTATGCATAATAGCAGAAAGGGCTAGAGTTAGCAAGAGAAGGGTGAAAGCCTTGTGTAGGGCTATGTACTGATATACTTCAGAGTGAATAGCTAACTCTGCAAATATGGAGGTAGAAGACAAAGTGGTTTGACGACAGCAAGTGAAGAGGTAGAACAGTATGAGTAATGGAGCCCAGCTACCACTGCCCTGTGCTCTGTAAGGTGCAGTTCTCACCAGGCCCAACACTGTTCCCTAATCTCCCTTGCTCAGGTTGTGAGGGCTGCAAGAGCAAGCAGAGAGGACAATGAGCATGAGGGAGAGAGGGCTGGATTTGGCAAGCCCCCATGCTCATGGTGTGTGGGAAGCCGCCTGTCCTTTCCTTGCCCACCTTAGTCAGCTTATATTGTATCAAGGCTGATCATATAATAGAGATTAAGATATAACTATATAGCTGTCACATTATACCAAAAGATCCAAACACTGAGAGCCATAGCCTGTTCAAGTTGACACATTTGGGGGGGGGTGGAAACAATTCATCCCACAACAATCACTAACATGTCCTGAAATGCTTAAATACCTATTAATTCTTTGTGTAGTGACTTTGTGTTAAGTATGAAATTGTCTGGTAATTTGTGGTTCATCTTTCTTTGGAATGGGCACTGTTGGAAGTGCAGATAGATTTCTTACCAATGTCTTGGCATAATGTTTCCAATGCTGCATCCATTTATTGAAACATCTCTAGTGGTATTCTGTAAATTCCTGGAGTCCTATATCCCTCTCCAATATCTTCCATGCAATGTGGACTTTTCCCTTCAATATTGTCGCATCTTGATCAACCTCCAGAAATGGCTGAACATTACCAATTCTTTATAGTACAGTGACTGTGTATTTCTTCCCTCCTCGTTTGATGTTTCCTGTGTTAACATGTTACCCATAGAATCCCTGACTACAGCAACTCAAGGCTGGGATTTTTTTTTTTCCTTCAGCTCTTTCAGCTTTAAAAATGTCAACTTTGTTTGTTTGTTTGTTTGTTTGTTTTAAAAAGTAAAAGAAAAGATTCTTTCATTGTTTTACAAACCCTCCCCCAGGTCCCCTCCACCATGCAGCCCTCGCTCTAGTCTCCTGTGATGACAGAAATAC